CCCTTTGATCCAGCAATACCACTACTAGGTCTGTATCCCAAAGAGATCATAAAAAAGGTAAAAGGATCCACATGCACAAAATATCATAGCAGCTCTTTTTGTGGTGGCAAAAAATTAGAAACTGAGGGGATGTCCATCAGTAGGAGAATGACTAAAAAATTGTGGTATATGAATGTAATGGAATACTATTGTTCTATAAGAAAGGATGAGCAGGGGGATTTTAGAAAAGCCTAGAAAGACTTAGATGAACTGGTGCTTAGTGAAGTGAGCAGAACCAGGAGAACATTGTACACAGTAGCAGCAACATTATGTAATGATCAGCTATGACAGATCTATCTCTTCTTAGCAAAACAATGATCCAAGACAATTCCAAATGATAAATGATGGAAAATGCTAATCATATCCAGAGAAAGAACTATGGAGTCTGAATGAAAATTGAAGCATATTATTTTAAATTTTTTTGGTTTTTTGCTTTTTCTTTCTCATGATTTTTCCCTTTTGTTCTGATTCTTCTTTCATGACATGACTAATGTAGAAATATGTTCAGCATAATTGTACATGTATAACCTATATAAGATTGCTTGTTTAGGGGAGGGGAGGAGGGAAGGAAGAGAGGGAGAAAAATTTGGAACTCAAAATCTTACAAAAATGAATGATGAAAAAGATCTTTATATTTAATTGGAAAAAATAAAATATTAATAAGCAGAAAAAAGAGAGAGTAATACATTGTTCTTTACTCATTTTTCAGTTGTGTCTGACTCTTTGTGACCCCATCTGGTGTTTTCTTGGCAAAGATATTTGAGTGATTTATCATTTCCTTCTATAGCTAATTTTACAGATGAGGAAACTGAGGCAAACAGGGTTAAGTGACTGTGCCTAGTGACACAGCTAGTAAATGTCTGAGGCCAGATTTGAACTCATAAAGATGAGTCTTCCTGAATTCAGGCCTAATGTTTTTATCTACTTCACCACCTAAATACCTGAAAAATGCATTATTCAGGCAAAAACAATATTTCAGCCCAGATTCATAAGCCTACACAGGTCTCCAGACTTTTCTAAGGCTGCACCACACAGGTGTCATCAACAAAAATATTCACACAGACATATGTGCATTTGAATCTTGAACCAGTGGATAACAAACTGTAGAGTCAGAAGTTGCCTTAGAGATCATCTATCTACCTTCCTTATTTTACTGGTCAGGAAACTTAAGTCCTGAGAACCTCAAGGCTATATAGGGTAGAAATAACAGAGCCAAGGTTTTAGTCCGGGACCTTTTCCTCCTCCAAGCCTAGCATTCTTTCTTCTAAACTATACAACTTTTCTATGCTAAGAATGAGGTGAGTGTCAAGAGTTGAGGTGGAAAGGAACATTAGCTAATTCTAATCTAATTCTAAACTCAATTTAATCAAAGAAATCCAAAGGCAGCCCAATTTATTTCAATCTCTCCTCTAGTCTGTCAACCACCATTGTCCAACTCCCACCACACACCTCAGGCAAGATGCCTTAGAGGAGGAGAGAAACTCAAAATCAGTCCAGCAAAGCAAGTGACCCAAATCTCTGCTACTCACTTCCATATGAAGAAAAGATCAAATAAGAAATGCCAAGATACAAAACATCCACTAAAAGTTTTTGAAAGCATATTTCCCAAGGTAAGAAAGTTATTAAAAGAGCTAGAGAAAGGCTCATAGGGTACTTAGGTATACCCCCATACAGGATTTATGGAGGAAAGGCATGTAAAAGTTGTGTTCTACACTAGTGAAAGGAGTAAGTGTCCATACTGAGGAGATAAGCTATTGATATATGGAAGTAATAATAATAATTCACATTTATAAAGCCTTTTAGAATTTACAAAATGCTTTACATATGTTATCTTATTAATCTATATAACAACCCTTTCAAGTGGGTGATATGATTATTACTATTTTACAGATTAGGCAACTGAAGCTGAGAGAGATTAAATGAAAATAACAGTTAACATTTATGTAGCATCTACTATGCGGTAAGCACTGTGCTAAGTGCTTTACAAATATTTTCTTATTTGCTCCTCATAGCAATCCTGGAAGGCAGGTACTGTTATTACCCCCAAATAGAGGTCAAGTGACTCGCTCAGGGTCATACAATTAGTAAGTGTCTGAGGCAGGATTTGAACTCAGGTCTTCCTGACTCCAAGTCCAGCACTCTAACCACTGAATAATGTTGACATCTTCCTGATTTCCCATAAACAGCAATGCAGTTAAATTGCTGAAATGGAAGCAGTAGGAACCAGTTAGTATTTAGGCAGGGTACTTTTGTTTGTGCAGAAAAAAGACTTTTCCTCAAATAGGCTATGATGTATCTTTTTTCTTTCAGATGTGACAGTAGCCACATGCTCAGTGAACTTCCTACTTCCATCAATTCATTTGTTCCTCTGGCTCCTTTTCAAACCCTGGAACAGTTACTGTCTGAAAGAAATGCTCTAATTTCCTGCCTGGTTACTTTGATTTTCCTCCTCTCTTCTGGTGCTGTATGTGCTTCCCTCTATCCGCTCTTCTATTCTTCTCCTTCCTCTCATTCCACTCGACTGGGTCCAAACATGCTGGTGATAAATGATGCTGTGCCTTGCACCTTCTATAAAAACAACTCACTTCTCTAGTGCTCTAAGGTTGTTTTTCAATTTATTATTATCTCTTAATTTTCTCACACCTTTACTTTCCTTCTACATCCAGAGGGTCATCCATCCTTTGTAATTAATAACAGGGGGCTTTTTGACCAAACTTACCAATGTATTAACCAAGCCAAGCAATGTGCAACAATTCATACAATTAGCCCCCCACACTCCCACCTCTGCAAAGAAGGGAGAGAAGTATATTTTCTCATTCTTCTCCAGGACCAAGCTCAGTAGGCAGAATTACATATCATTCAGTTTTGTTCTTTGTTCTTTCCATCCACATCATTGTATTCGTTACATATATTGTATTCCTGGTTATGATTATTCATAACCATAACATTCATTCTGTATCATTCCTCATGTTTTTCTGAATTCTTTATATTCATAATTTCTTATAGTGCAATAATATTCCATTACATTTGTACATTGTTTAGGTATTCCCCAATAAAGGGCTCTTTACTTTATTTCTTTGCTGATTAAAAAAATAATTGTGTGAATATTTTAATGTATGAGGGACCTTTCTTTTTGTCTTGGCTTTTTGGGGGTATATGCCTAACACCAGGATCTCTGGACCAAGGGCTATGGTTGCATTACTTAAATTTTTAGCATAATTCCAAATTGCTATCTTGAATAGTTGGATTATTCCAAAGCCTGAATGGAAATATATGAGTGCAGCCTTTCCATAGCCTCTCCAATATTGATCATTTCCGTTTACTGTCATATTGTTGGCTATAAAATAAAGAGTTGTTTTGATTTGCATTTCTCTTATTATTAGTCATTTGGAGTAATCTTTCTTTCATATTGTTGTCAAGAGTGTGCAGGTCTTCTGAGAAGTTTGTTTACATCCTTTGAATATACATATCCATTGAGGAAAGGTCTTAAATATTTGTATTGGCTCCCCATACATCTTGGATGGCAGAGCCTTATCAAAGTCATTTTACATGAATATTTTTCATGTTGATTTTGTTTATACAAAAGCACTTCAATTTTATGAAACTGAACTTCTCTATTTTATTTCTTATGGCTGCCTTTTGTGAAAGGTACCTATCTGATCTAGACAACTAGCTAACGTTCATTATTTAAGGTTTGCAAAGTGTTTTTACAAATGGCATCTAGTTTGCTTCTCACAGCAATCCTGAGGGGTAGGTGTTATCATCATCACCATTTTATAGGTGGGAAAATTGAGGCACTTCTACTTGTTATGGGCTTAATGAGGTAGAATGTCAGCTCCCTTAAATCCTATGATCCCATGATCCACAGAGCGTAGGTGATATAGAGCTCTGTTGTTCAGTCATTTTTCAGTAGTGTTTTCGTGACCCCATTTGGCATTTTCTTGGCAAAGATCCTGGAGTAGTTTGTCATTTCCTTCTCCAGCTCATTTTAAAGATGAAGAAAATGAGGCAAACATGGTTAAGTGACTTACCTAGGGTCAAACAGCTAGAAAGTATCTGAGGTCAGTATTTTGTGAGTATGAATAATATTTGAACTCAGGAAGCTGAATCCTTCTGACTCCAGGCCTGACACTATGCATTCTGACACTTAGCTTACTATAATCACTATAGAGCTTACTTGCTAAAGAACTTATTTAAAAATCTGAATCACAGCAGGTGAAATGTTCTAAAAGAGACATTACTTTCTGAGCTTGCTCTGCTATTAACTGGCTAAGCAGCCGTAAACACGTAACTTCTCTGGACCTTAGATTCCTCATCCATAAGATAGAAATGATGATAATAACAGAACTGCTTACTTCATAGAGTTATGAGGATCAGATGAGATTAGAGGTGAAAGCATTTTGAAAACTAACAGGGTCCCTACTTCTATCGGGTATACCTACTATTATTATTTCAGTTTTCAGGGCAATTCTGGAAGTTCTCCATCCTATGCTAGAAAGATTTTCCTTTTATATGACAACAACCTGGCCATGAAAACTGACGAATTCATCTTGCTTATTCCAGGTCTAGGGAAAAGCAGCCCAAGAAACTTGAGCCCAAGGAGACAGAAAGTATACAGTCTGTTTCCCCTGTTGCAATCTCTCTCTAGAGAATGGAAGGACAGCAGAATAGAGAGCTTCTGGAACTACAACATGCTCACAACATGCCTTTCAAACAAAGCCTATTCTCCAAATTATGAATGAATGGAATGGATGGCTTTTTAAATGCCTTCTATCCAAGCCCCAAGGCACAAATTAATATTTTAGAGAAGAAACTCCATCTCATCACACTTAGAGCCTTCTTAAGTTTGACCAGAATATCTGGGGACAGGATAGTAAAACCACAGTGCTGTTCGTTCCTTGGCTTGCAGAGAACCTGTCAGGTGAGCATGGCATCCTTATGAGAAGCAAGACAAGACTCACCTTTCACTTCCCGTTGATGATACTCTTTGCTTTTAAGAATAGGGTGTGAAATCCACATCCATGGATGATGTTTTCGGAGTTGAGGAAGCATGTAATGTGTTACAAATCCCACTGCACAGGCCAGGGCAAACAATATGAGGCCAAGAAATGGCTGAGATAAAAGGAAAAAAAAACAAATTTCATTATTTAGTTGAGGGGGGGAGGGAGGACTGAATATTATTTAACCACTTCTAGCTTTTCTGTTTCCTCTTAAAGAAACAGCCAAATCCAGTTCTTGTTTCATAGCTCAGAAGGTTTCTTCTACACCTCATGAAAATGATCTGTCAGCAGAGAGACATTAATAAGCTCTAAATTCCCAAATAGGGGAGTGGAAAAGTGGCCCACAGAGATACAGAAGCACATACAAATTCAGCTCCTTGGTGTGACTTTAAATTACTTCTGGCTTTGTTTGAAGGGAAGGTTAAGAGCATGAAATAAGTCAGAATCATTTTTGTCCTTGAACAGATTATGTTGTGGGGTTAGAGGGTGGAAAGGAAGGCATCTGCCTACAGGAAGTATCAGACAAAAATTTCATCCAGAGTGCTTCACCTTTTGATTACTATTATGTATGTATGTTTTTCCTTCACCAAGATATGCCTCTAGTCATTTAGAACCTAAGCTCCTTGTGTACTTACATTCATCTGTACCTACAATATTGGGGGTTCATTATTCTACTTTTAATGACAAGAATTCTAATGAATGTGTGGTTTTTTTCCCTAAGAAAGCCAGCCACAAAAATTGGGGGTAGGGTAAGAATAAAAAAATGCTGAATCCAGTTGTATCTACTCTTGTTCTTTGGCTCCTGGCATGGGTGCATCTGGGTATGAGGCCAAGACCATCCATTTAAAGGGATGCTGGAGAGACAGGGGAATATGGAATAAGTGGGCCAAATCAGGCAGAAATTGTGGACGATACAACAGGGATAATTAAAAAATGAGAACAAACGAGCGTGCAAGGACTCCCTTTCTTTGAGAACTGACTTCGAGAATGCTGTGCTCCACTAGTGATGTACAAGCTAAAATGAGTGCCAGGAGTCTTACATATGTATCTCAAGAGCTACCTGGACTGGAAGGGCAGTATCAGAGGTCCCAAATAGTGACAGAATGGTAAGTGAGGAAAAGTGGAGGAAAAACCATTGTTTTTGGTCCCAAGCTCCCTTGACTAGTTAGATATCGAAACTGCAGGAGGCCTTGAATGGAAAATATTTGGACTTCATTTCATAGCCCAGTAGGAATGGCTGATGGGAAGAACAAATTTCATGAATCTGGACTGTTCCTCAAAGTTCTGGGTTTGGGGCATTCCATAAATTAGTTAAGCATTACCTGGGTCTGGGAGAAGCCATGAGTACACAACATATATGGTAGTTGTTTTGATAAATTTCATTTGATTTGACTCCATTTGCTTCTGTATCAATAAAGAGCCCTGCAGTAAACAATGTTAATAGGAGTGACTCCATTGTGTTTTGATAGTGAGAGTGAACTGAAATACAAAATGAGAGGAAGGGATAAAGTTTTTCTGGTGGATGGAGGTTGAACAAAAAGACTAGTTGGATTATTCTACACAGACCACAGCCCTATACTGACACAGTGAGCACTTCTACCCACAGAAGGAGCGCCTCTAGGGAGAAGAGGTCACCAGCTCTCTGAAAATCATAGAGAGTTTAGCTATTTCCCTGGGTACCTTCTAGTGTTGGATGGATTGCATAACCTCAAAGGTTGCCAGGGATCCAGTGATCATGGGATTGCCAGTGAATGGTCCTTCCTACTGAACAGGAGCAACAGTTCCTCCAGGTGGTTAAACACACTGTTTCTAATATATACATATATACTCTGAGCTTTGTTTTAGGCTAATTCAAATTTGGGAAATTGTTTTTAAAAACCAACAGATTTTTTCTAACAACCCAAAACTTCCACTAGTCTCCTTCCCCTGGTCTAAACATGTTTTAAAAAGCCTGCTACTTTGTGAACAGAGATAGCATCTTGAAAACAAAGAAAAAACAAACAAAGAAAAAAAAAACACCAGCAATATGAGAGAGGAAGATAAGAAATACAACACTTACTCTCAATGACAGGAATACGGTACTGGCACTCACTGCAAATGAAAGAATAGCAACCACAGTGCAGACAATGAGATCTGATTTTAGGATCTCCTTCTGTAAAGAGAAGTTATATGTAAGTCTCCCTCTACCTATGCTCTAGGAACACAAGTAAGTCCAAAGAGAGGCTATAGGCATTCTGTCAACTCACCTGAAATGTGCTCCATAGAACACATACTGGGATGCAATAGAACATGCAACATTCCATGAGTTAGAAACAATGGGAGAACCAAGACTGGGTGGTTGGAGAGGCAGAGCTCATATATTCCTGGTGGCATATCCCAAAACCTACCAAAGAGCAAATCTCGCAGAATGTGCAAAAAACATAAAGTTCCAGCTCCATGAGCAACAGGTTGGGACAGTGTATCTATCCTTGAAAAGACCATGGAGTCTTTGGTTAAAGTGGTTCTCTCTATACCACAGGGAGGCAAATGGCATATCCAATATTGGGAATAGCTGGTGGCACAGTAGATAGGCCTGGAGTCAGAAAGACCTGTGTTCAAATACAGCCTGACTCTTACTAGCCGTGTGACCTTGGGCAAGTCACTTAATCCATATCTGCCTCAGTTTCCTCAATTGTAAAGGGGATAATAATAGCACCAACCTTCCAGGATTGTTGTAAGGATCAAATGAGATATTATTTTGAAAAGTGTTTAACACAGTGCCCAGCATGTAGTAGGCCCTGGATAAATTCTTATTCCTTCCTCCTTTCCCCCCTGCCCCATGTCTCCTTGTTTTCATAAGCACAGATAAAAAGAAGGGCAGAATAGCCAGTCAGCAATCTCCCAATCTTTGATTTTACTATGAAGCAGCATGGATTTAAAAATCTCCAACAGGACAGAGTGAAAATTATCTTGTAAGAAGAATACACTTTATCTTCAGGAAGATGGAATGCTTGTCTAGCACATAAAATATAAAGTGTTGTAGGAAAGGTTAGCAAGAGGAAATGGGTGCCCATGAACAGTGTCAGGCTGACAGCAAAATAGGAGAAAACGTGATTGTTTAATGAATTGAATCACAGAAATTTAGAGCTGGAAGGAACCTTGGAGAACAATCACCTAGTCAAGGTCCCTCATTTTACAGATGGAGATTAGCTGCTCTACCCAATTACTCCAACTTGTTAGGAGACCACATTACTTAAGAGTTTCTCGAGGGTAATTATAACTGAGTTTAAACAGGAGTCTGAAAATTAAAAAAACCAAAAGCAAATTCACTCCTCCTTTCTAGTCGGGAAAATGAACTGTGCCATTTAATGATTGTTTTTGGATATGGCCTGCCTCGCAGAATGAATAGAAAAGTATACCTTGGGTTTTTTCTTTTTTTTTTAATTATGCTTTGGAGCTCCCTACAAGCCGCGTTGCTAGTTAACTGGCTATTTGTCCTAAAGGCCAAACTAAAAGGAAGGATGTAGGAAGCAAAGTTTGAATTAACACCCTCAGGCTTCTGTTTAATGTAGTAATCAACCATAGGTTTGCCTATAGGAATTAATTATAAAGCAAGGAAGTGCCATTCTCAAAGCTAAACGGTCAATTATCTACCCCAGCTGCTTTCAAATTCAATTGTCAATAGCTGACAATCCCTTCCATGGTTATTGGATGGAGGGGAAATCATATAACCACACACTAAAGATGCCATGTTTATTTTCTGTAATGCTAATCTGAAATTAGCATAGAGAAGAACAGATTGGGTTTTAATATTCATCCTATTCAATGTGGCTCTCAGAGACTGTTAATAGTCATTTGCTTCTAGTAATGGCCAATTTTCATAAGGCTCCCATTTCACACCAAATGCCTTATTGAAGGGTAGCCTTACTCAAAGCACAGTTCTACAGCCACAGTCTCTGTATGATGAGGGATAATGGCGATTTCTTCCCTTCTATTCCTCACTGACACATCAATTAAAACAAAACAAAACAAAACACAAAACTATAGCATCTAAGCCCTGTTACCACATTTATTAGAGAGCAAGAACATAAGTTCTCTCCGACTCTCAGTAACTTAACTAAAAGTCAGGGATCATCTTAAATGTAGGCATGATCACCATCTAACAGTGATTTTTGTTGTTGTGTTAGTCATGTCCATCTCTTTGTGACCCCATTTGGATTTTGTTTTTGTTTTTTGGTTTTTTTTGGCAAAGATTCTGGAGTAGTTTGCCATTTCCTTCTCCTGCTCACTCTACAGATGAAGAAACTGAGGCAAACTGGGTTAAGTGAAATATGCAGGGTCACACAGCTAGCAAGTGTCTGAGAGTGGATTTGAACTCAGGAAGATGAATCTTCCTTACTCCAGGCTTGGCCCTCTATCCACTTTGCCACCTGGTTGCTTGCCTAACACTGGAGGCATTATTTAAATGCTAGCTATTGTTATTAGAACATTTTGGGGGAAGGTCACCTTAACATTTGGTTTACCTTCTTTTTAGGCCAATAAAAGTGTGTGTGTGTGTGTGTGTGTGTGTGTGTGTGCACGCGCGTGTGTGCAAATACACTCAGGTATACTATAGGAAGTCTCAAACTCCAACTCTTGAAAAGGTGCTGTAACTAAAAAGAGAGAAGCTGAATCTGATTTAAAAAAATATAATGGGAGTTGAATTATGTTTGCTAATTGTTTAGTGTCCAATTATTAAGAGTCATTCCAAACACCATATCTAATCTCCTAAAAACATGTCTCTGAATACTGTATAAGAAAACATTTCTAAAGTATATAATTCAAATAGGGCAATACAGTAATAAAGTACATTGAATCAAATATATGATGCAACACCACTATCTTACACATAAAATTAATGCTTGTCTCTTTATCAGTCTTATTTTTTGCAACAAGAAGTCAAGTGATAATAACAATAATACTAGTAATGGTACTAAAAGCAGCTAGCATTAAATGGTGCTTTAAGCTCTGCAAAGCACTTTACCTATATCACCTCCTTAAGGTCATGGGATGTGGAAAGGGTGTGTTTGTGTCGATTTTTGAGGCTTAGGGTTTTATAGTCTCAGAATACTGTTCCTTAGCTCACTGTGCTGTTTTCCTTTCCTCTTTTCTCTGCCTTGATTCACTGGATCCTGCTCTTTCCCTCCTCTGCAGCTGCCAATAAACCTGAGACTTCTATAGCTGGCCTGTGCTGATCAGAGAAGGGCTATGGCAGTGAGAGTGAAGTCTGGGAAACACAGGGAAGCTTAAGGAATCAATCAGGTAACATGCTGACTAAGGTGAATTAATTGTTGTATTGCCTGCCTACCTTAAGTACCATAAGTCGGTGTGATTGGCAGAGTGCCAACAATGTGAATTGCTGTGAGTTGAAGTTATGTCTTCTAAGGTAGTCTGCAATTTATGAACAGGTTGTGTTCCAAAGGCCTGTTTACAAATTGCTTGTTTGGAACCTAGAATGTGTTTTATTGTAGAAAGGAGATTTGTACATGGTCGTTAGGACCCTAACACAGCCTATAAAAGTCAACTTAACCCATAATGTCCCTGATACACAGGATTGTATTAGTAGAGCCATAGAATTTAACTACCATGTTTCCATGGGAAACATGTTTTGAGTTTTAACTTGGGATTCGAGGAATACATGACCTTGTTGTCAGACCAGCTAAGCGACATGAAAAAGGACTCCTCTGGCTCAAACTCATTGGTGACCTGGGGCAGGGCCTTTAGGGTTAGACATTGGGTTGGGAGCTATGGAAAGGGATTCTGTGATGGTGGGGTTTGATGTCATTCATCCATAATATTGCATAAAGACAATGGACTCACCACTGAGTCTCTCATCTTCTTGGGAAGTGGGTCTGATGGCACCTCTTCCAAATTTGGGTGTAAAAAGTGGGGAAATAATTTACATTGAACAAAGGACCTGAAAGGGGATAAACACAAACCTTACCTTAGAAAATATGTTCTTCTGACAGTGTTTTAGATAAGGAAATCAGATCCTTAGTTATATAGGTAAATGGAGGTGCTCCCCATTTTATTCCTAAATATAGGGCATTTAAGCAATTGAGGCACACAAATATGATTTTTGTTTTCTCTTTGCTCTTAATAATTATACAAATTGTACATTAAGAAATGCATACTCCCCTTAATCCCAAATACAATACCCCTCATCTTTTAATATATACCACCCATCTCTTACAAACTCAAAATATTGTACCAAAATGAATTCAGTTATCTACATAACATGGACATGAAGAAAGGGAAGACCTTATATAACTTTCCAAGATAACAAAAGAGAAGAATTGATTTTTGTGTAAAACCCCAAAGTGTCTTAATACAAGAACTAAATATATAGGTCGATCCTTCATGAGGGGAGTAGTAGTCAACCACTGTCTAGGACTTAGACCACCAGTTGGGAGTTGGGGAAGCAGCTCTGAGGGGATGCTATATTTGTATATCCAGGTTCTAGCACAACACTTCCTTTCCCCTCAGATCCCATGTAGTAGTCATATGGTAAAGGTTTACTGAACGGAATTGAATTCTGCTGAATTGAGGAAATCGCCAGTAAGACAAAAGAGTACTTCCATCTTTTGTCCCACTCAGTGTACAATATCACTACTGAGAATCTTAGCATGGGTACCACAGCCTTTTTTGGTAACATCCACAAAATTTTTCTTTTCTGCTTTGTGATACTACAATGTCAGCTATCTTGAAAGGATAAGATAAGCAAGTAAAATGCTGTTCTGCTTCTATGCTTGACCTTCTCTCTGACCCTTCCTCGTATGTCTTTCATCTTGTTGGTCTCAACATTATAGAATAATTATAGTCTCTCTGATGTCCACAGTAGTAACTGCTTGTATCTCCAAGTGTTTCTATACCTTTGGGAAAATTATGCAGGCTGGTATTACAGACAATTAAAGTACAGTTTTGTGTAGAAAAATAAGATATTTCAGTCTAAAAAAACACTTGGGGCAATAATTTACATTGTCAAAAGATGTGATTATGGGGAAGGGACATGACGAAGTGCATATGAAATTGGCAAAGGTCAATGTTAAAAGGTTTAAAACACTTGGGCCTAATTTGTACCTCCGATTCCAGGAGTATCATTTGTCCTTTGGAGAATAATGAGCAGAAATTCTTCCTTCCGTTTTGAGCATATTCTCTACTACATTAAGAATTAGGTTTTATTTTTCCTAAATAGGTTAAAGTCTCAACTCCCATATCCAGAATTAGATTCTTCTAATTTTTCTGTGTACAGATTTGCTCTTCAAGGAAAAGCCCAATTTAAGTGAAGAGATTGTGGGCTCCTTGCTTGCTTCACTGAAGGTGAGGCAAACTGGCATGGCGAACCACATATCATCCCAGCCCTGCAGAAATGCATCTGTCTACTTCATTGTGTTGTTTACTTTACGGCAATAAAATCTGAGGCAAAGTTGGATCTTGACCATTACTTTCAGGTAGTTCACAGCGTTTAATGGCTCCTCCCCCCAAGTAAGTTGTTAATTTCATGGGAAGATGGATCAGACCGCAGTGAACACTGAGAACTGAAAGTGAGACCCTGCTGAAGTCTTGTCTAACGCAAGCACAAGGTAAAGAATCAGCCACGGGACTCACATTAAAACAGATGGATCACTGCTTTGTCTGCTAAGGTGATAGGAAACTGCGACCAAAAGACCACAGAAGGCAGAGAACAGGGCTGGAATGTGTTGTGTACTCCAAGGTTCCTAAAGGAAAGAAGAACATTAAAAAATTATACGTAAGGGATGAAGTAGATAGAGATTCATTGAGACCAAAGGCCACTTCCTAAAAAGCTAGTGTTTCATTCACTCACTAAATGACTTTAGTGCAATTCTTTTAATCTTTCAGTAGTTCCCTTGCCCCTAAAATTTCTATTGTCTACTTATCATTCTGGTTGCTATACTATGGGTGACGTCCAGTTTACTGATGTCCTTACCTGAAACGTGCAGACTGAATGTGATGCTCCAAATGTGGACTGACCAGGGCATAGTACAACACGATTATTACCTCCCTTATTCTTGATATTTTATCTTCTTGAGGGTGGGGACCTTCATTCTTGTATCTGTATGCCTAGCACCTAGGATGGTACCTAGCAAAGGCTCTTAGTAAATGCTTGCTGAAGTCTTAGATCTCATTAGCTTTTTTGGTTCCCATATCACACTGCTGTTTCTATTTTTTAATTATATAAACTCCCAGTTCTTTTTCACACAAACCATCACTGCCAAATTTAAATTCCCTCCATCCTTTACTTGTGCAGTTAATTTTCTGAATTCAATTATAAGACTTTGTATTTTTTCTATCGTATTTATTTTTTCTACATTTGAGTTTTGTTCTAACTTGCTGCGACCTCTTTGTATTTTTATTTTCTAATTCAACAGGTTACCTGTCCCTCCTAGCTCTGTGTCATCTACAAATGTGATAAGCATGGAATCTATGCCTTCATCCAAGTCATCAATAAAAATGCTGAAAAGCACAAATCCAAGAACAGATTCCTAGGGGAATCCACTAGCAATCTCTCCCCAAGATGACAATGATCCACTTATCACTATCTCCCTGAGTCTAATATTCAAATAGCTTTGAATCTACCTGAATCTAGGTCACATCTCTTTATCTCATCCTGTAAGACATTATGAGAGACTTTGCTAAACACCCTTTCTGAAATGCAGGATTAATATGTCTATAGCATCCCACCAGTCTAAGAAAAATAAAGAATAAGATTAGTCTGGTATGGTCTGTACTTATGAGCCCCTGTAATGTTTTCCTTTCTAAATGCTCAAATGTGGCCTTGATGATGGTATGGTTAAGTGGATCTGGCATTGTTTGAATGACCAGACCCAAAGAGTACCCATTAATGTGTCAATGGAGGGAAGTCTATAGCACATTCTCCCAGAGACTTGTCATTGGCTGTATGCCATTTGATATGTATATTAATGACACAGAAGGATGGATAGAGCGCATGCCTATCAAATTTTCAGATGCCATAAAATTAGAAGGAATAGTTAATACTTATCAAGGCAGAAACAAAATTCAAAGAGATTTCAATAGGCTAAAATGAGAGGAAACATGGTATGGTAAATAAAGAACTAGACTTGGAAACAGAAACATCAAGGTTCAAATCCTGCTTCAGACATTTAGTAGTTGTGTGATTCAAGGCAAGTCACTTGACCTCTCTGTGCCTCATTTTCCTTCCCTGTAAAATAAGGATTTAGGTTCAATGGCCTCCTAATTTCCTTTTTACTTCTAAATCTATAAGCCTATGATCTCATAAAATGAGATTGAAAGGGGATGAATATAAAGCCCCACAAAGGGGTCTAAAAAGTGCACAAATGCAGAATGTGGGGAGCGTGACTAGGTAACACTTTCACGAGAAAGCTCTGCGGTGCAGAGGGTTAGCACTCTGAAAATTCAAAATAAGTCAACAGTGTGACTTAGGAGCCCCCCCCCAAACTAACACAAACTTAAGCTGCAAAAGGAAGTAATACATTTAAGACTGGGGAGGGGATAGTTCCACTGAATTTTGTCTTATTCAGACTAAATATGGAGTCCTATGTTCAGGTCTGGGTGACATATTTTAGGAAGGACACTGCAAAATTGGATCATGGGTATCAGAGGATTGGTATCAGTACAATAAGACCTTCAAGATCATGCCATGTAAGGAATTATTAAAGGAATAGGAAGAGTTAGCTTAGAGAAGGAAACATTAGGGGAGAAACTATGTGTCTTCCAATGTTTGCAGGTCTGTCACGTGAGAGAGGAATTTTGTTCTGTTTGGCCTTAGGATGCAGAACTAGGACTCAAAGGTAGAAATAATTTCAGCTTGATTTAAGGGAAACTTTCTTATATTAGATATCTTCAAGCAAAGCCTGGAGGACCACTGGTCAGTTATGCTGTAGATAGAATGAATTCCTGTTCAGCAATGAGCGGGTCTTTGGATTAGAGCACTAGGCCTGAAGTCAGGAAGACTCAACTTCCTGAATTCAAATCTGGCCTCAGACACTTACTAGCTGTGTGACCCTGGGCAAATCACTTAACCCTGTTTGCCTCAGTTTCATCATTTGTAATATGAACTGGAGAAGGAAAGGCATGTCAGTATCTTTGTCAAGAAAAACCCAAATTGGGTCACAAAGAGTCAGAGATGTCTGAAACCACTGAACAATAACAACAGGGAGTGGGTCTGGATGACCTCTGAGGTCTCTTCCACCTTTGTGACTCTGTGCATGAAGGAGACAAAAATGGCAGGCCTCATTTTCAGAAAGGGTTACATGCTCCTAGAGAAACAGAGACTGCATTCCTCAATCCAAATATATTCATCACAGAATGCTATCTTTTGACAAGATGATAGATTACCAGATCCAGTCTCTAAATTCCAGGCTTATCCTTTTCCTTCCTCCTACACTTGGATCTATGTAAAAGGAGAATCTTAGCCAAGAAAATTAGGGAGAGAATGAAATATTGGTGTTGAAATCAAATGAAGATTGGATAGTACAACATGACTAAAATAGGAGTAACACTATGGGATTAAAAAAATGATATGGTTTAAGTGGGCTCTTCTCACCCTCAGACAATACAATCCAAAAACATATATGTTATTTTGAAATGTGTCAATCTTTTTTATCCTTATGCTGTTGCTTCATTTCCTTTTCTTTGTGTCTCATGTATTCTTCCTTCAGTTCTTCATTTGCCAACTAGATTGAAAGCTCCCTGAGGGCAAGTGCTTGTCAAATATTTCTTTCATATCTCTACCCCAACCCAAGCCTAGCACAGAGCTATACACGTGATGATGCTCAATAAATTCTCTAATATGAAAATTTGCTTCTATTACATCTTAATGATTTTTGCTTCTCTGACATCCTTTTCTGGTTCCCTTCTCTGTCAGGTAAATTATATCCCCTTTCTTTATTTTTTAGTTTGTTCTTACAAAATGAAAAGAAAAAAACACTACTTGAGAAAAACCTTTAAGACATTCCCCCCCCCTTAACTGTGTAAGATTTCTCATTCATTCTATTGTATCTTGCTTTGTTAAAAAGTGCTTTCTTTATATAGTTTTGTTCTGTGCTACTTTCTAAATCAGAAACTCTCAAAGGCAATGCTTGCCTTTTCTTTAAAATGTGCCCTAGATGCAGTCTGTGTATGTAAGCCCTTTAGGCATCCAACATCTACTCTTTAGTTGACATTATAATTTGAGAATATTAGATTGTTTGGTTATTTCACATGACCACAAATTATTCCCTTCAAAGACACTTCATTTATTTGAATATTGATCCATAAAGCAGAGAGTCTTCATCTAGTGATCAATGCAAAGTCAGTAAGATGGGACCGCAAATTAAACAGTTAAAGATGACCATCATTCCCACAATATGAAACATCAACTTGATTAAATATGATTTCATCTTCATCTTGTTAGGCAAAATAAATGAAATGATGAGAATTCAAAGTGTCTTTTCTTTTCTTTTCTTTCTTTCTTTCTTTGTTTCTTTCTTTCTTTCTTTCTTTCTTTCTTTCTTTCTTTCTTTCTTTCTTTCTTTCTTTCTTTCTTTCTTTCGCAATTGGGGTTAACTGACTTGCCCAGGGTCACACAGCTAGTAAGTGTCAAGTGTTTGGTCAGAGGTCAAATTTGAACTCAAGTCCTCCTGACTTCAGGGCCAGTGTTCTATCTACTGTGCCACCTAACTGCCCCTAAAATTCAAAGTTTCTTAAGACAAATCACATCAAAGAATTAAAAAAGTAAATACTTTGCACTTGGGTTAAAGAATTCAAAATCTCTTGAAAATATGAGACACGGAAGAATTATCTCAAGAAATGTTTTATGTAAACTAACATTTATGTTGTATTGTGGTTTCCAGAGTGCTTTTTCCACACCACTCTTATGATATAGATAGGCAGTGCAGGAATAACAGTTATGCCCATTTTACAGATGAAGAAAGATGATGAAGGACTTGACCATGATTACCTCAGTTAGTCAATATTGGAGCCAAGGATCTAAAAGTAGGTCTCTTCAAGTAGTGGAATCATTATTGTATTTAATGTCAGAGGAACAAGCTTTGAATTCAGGCTCTGCTTCTTACTACTTGGAGAGTTTCTTAACAACATCTGGTGCTCAATTTTGTTATCTATAAGTTGACCTTTAAGGTTGAGATGACCTTCAAGGTGCCTACAAGTTCTAAATATGAGATCTTTTCACTCCTCGGCCAGCACTTTCTATGATATCGGGATATCTCTCTAATAAATGTGGACACAGTTTTCATTGTAACAGCAAAGATATACGTATCAGATGATCTGTACATAAAACTAGTAAAATACATACTTTTAAAAATGTATTTAGATGGGCAGGGCAGCTAAGTGGTACAGTGGATAGAGTGCCAAGTCTGGAATCAGGAAGAAACAGCCTAGTTTTGCCTCTCCACTCTCCAATATTCCATGCTGCCTTTCACGAATTATCATAGGATGTCAGTGATTACATAAAAGAGTTCATTAACTAAACAGTGGTACATCAGCCCTTCTATAGAACAGGCACATAACTGGGGCAGCCAGGTTACACAGTGAATAGAGCACTGGGCTTGGAATCAGAAAGACTCATCTTTCTGAGTTCAAATCCAGTCTCAGACACTTGCTAGCTGTGTGACCCTGGACAAGTCACTTAACCCTGTTTGCCTCAGTTCCTCATCTGTAAAATTAGCTGGAGAAGAAAATGGCAAACCACATCAGT